AGTTCCCTGGAGTGGCCAGAGCAGCTCCTGCTGCTGCAGCAAGACCCCCCACATTTCACTTTTGGTCCCTTGGTGTCCTCCACTGGCCCCTGGGGACAGCCATGTTCCCAACTGTCCCTCACAGGGCAGGGGACAGCCATGTCCCCAACCATCCCTCACAGACCAGGGGACAGCCATGTCCCCAATTGTCCCTCACAGAGCAGGGGACAGAGCTGCTCCTGTCCCATGAGTTCCTCCCACCTGCCACCACTGAGAGGCACCCACGTGGGTCACAGAGTGGCCATGGGTGGCTAGGGAAGAGACAGCTGAGTCATCTCTCCAGAGGGGTGTGGATGATCCTGTCCCTTTGAAAAGGTCACAGCTGAGCTGAGATGCAAGGGGACAAAGGCACAGCATCCTCTGTACTCTGGGATGAGTCCAGAGCGGGCAGCAGCTCTTGGTGGCACCGTCAGTGTCTCTGTGAGACCTCTGGGATCCCTGAGAGCCACGCAGGGCTCACTCCCTCCTGCTTTTCTCTCTCTTCTGCTTCTGGGTATTTAAGCTCACAGAAGAACACAGAAGATCAGCAGGAAATTAAGAGATGCCTTAAATTATTTGCTATTTTTTTAGTATGCAGTATCTGCGGGGTTCTCTCGTCCTCTCCTCTCCCTGCCCGCCCTGCTGCTCCCTCACTGGCACGGCAGGTTCTCACAGAGGTTGGCTGCGCTCCTTCATGTCCTCCGTGAAGTCCTGGAGGTCGTAGATGAACTGCTGGATCTAGGGTGGGAAAGGGAGAGGCCAGGGTCAGGGCAGGAGGAAGAGGGGAGCCTGTCCCTCTTGGAGGGCAGATGGTGACAGGTGACAGGACAAGAAAGCACCAGAATGTGCCTTTGTGGGGGAATGAAACCAAACCCTGGCCATGGTGGGGTCTGCATTGCTGCACCCCCGAGTCCCTGCACCCCTGGACCCCTGCATCCCTGCACCCCCTGTCCCTGCCTGGCTCCTTCTGCCCCCATAGGGCCCCACTCCCTGCTCCACTTGCTGGAAGGGACAGCTTTGCCTGGTGTCCCCACCACTCCCCAAGCCTGGAGACCCCAGGGGAGAAGTGGGGGGTGTGTTGGGCCTGGGGCCTTGGGAGAGCCATTCCTGCTGCTTTTCCTGAGCAGGGAGCAGGCTCTGCCCTGGCTGTACCATGTCCAGCTGCCTGTGGCTGTCCCCAGCTGCCACCTTGTCCTTTGGCTGGAGCCGAGTGCTGGCGGCCTGGAAGAGGCTCTGGACGGCCATGCTGAGAGACTTCAGCTCCGTGGCCTTCCTGGCAGCGCTGTCCTGGGCCTCGGCCCAGCGATCCTCCTGGGGGACACGAGACACGTCCCAGCAAAGCTGCTTCAGCACAGACCCCGGCTTGGAGAGCCCGAATTCCACCCTCATTCGGGCTGGAAGAACCCGGCCTTGCCCAGGGCTGGAGCTGGTTCAGCCCGGTGTGATGGAGCAGATCTAGGAGCCAGCCGAGCTGTTTTGCAGCTCCTGGCATGTCCTCCCTGTCAGGGCCGTGCCCACCCCGCAGGAGGGACAGATCTCCTGCAGCAGCACTGGTGTCACCTCCCAGCACTGTCACTGTCATCTCCCAGACCTGCTGCTGCTTCCAGCTCTTCCTGATGACAAACCTGGTCCACACCTGGGCTCTCCCTCCTCCTTCCTGGAGGGATGGGATCAGGCATCTCCTGCCCCCGCACACTCTGCTGCTGGGCCCTGCCACGAGCCCCTGGCTGCAGGAGGAGCCAGCAGCCAGTCGTGACTCTGCCAGGCCTTGGAGAGCTCCTCTGCCCACCCCACAGCTCCTTACCCACTGGTGGATGTCGCTTTGAGCCTGGTCCAAAGATTCTTTGAGCTGCACCAGGTCATTCTTGCACTGAAGCATCTCAGCTTCCTTCTCTGCCCTGATCTGCTGCTGCAGGACCTTGGCCTGCTCCATCAGCTGCCGGTGCCACCACTGGGACTGCAGCAGGTCCTTGCGTGTCCTCACCAGGGCCTTGTAGTAGGAAATGACATCCTCGATGTCCTGGAACTGCAGCACAGGGTCCTGGGGTCAGTAACACCCTGCCCTCCCCTCACTGGGCTCTCCTGCTCTGAGCAGGGCCAAGGCCACCCCAGCTGGAAGATCTTCCATTCTCCATTGTCCCTGCAGGTCCCTGAGCATGGCCACATCCCCTGGGCAATGACACACACAGTGCCAGGCCTGGAACTGGCAGCGGCAGTGGCACAGGGCAGGTGTCACAGCTCTGCCCCAGGGGAGCAGTGCCGGGGTGAAGCACAGCAGCTCCATGTCCCCGGGCCCTGGGAGGCAGCAGGAGCACGAGGGATGCATGAAGAGATGTCCCAGCATCCTGGAGAGGCAGCACAGCTTTCCTGACAACTGCCTGGGTCCCATTCCTAGGCAGTTTTCACCTCTCCCAAACCGTCAGTGTGACCTGGAATGGTGACACGTTCTCCTCAGCACTGAGCTTTCTCCCCTTCTCATGGTTTTTGTTCAGTTTTCTCAATCCTTCATCTGTTCTTGTTCTCCTCTCCTCTCACTGCTCCCTGTGGCTCACTTTGGTTGCAAGGGAACCCTTCCCACCCCACTTGGACTCTCTGGGTTTGATCAAGTGTTGATTTCCCCAGCCTTGCCTCATCTCCTCTTGTTCAAAGCCAGATGAAGCTTGAGCCATGTCCAAGCTCACCTGTGAATTCTCCACCACATTCTCCAGGTACCTCTTGAACAAGGAGTACTTCAGCAATTTTTTGGAGAGTTTCTGGTGCTGTTTTCTGAGGGCTTCCAGTTCCTTCCTTGCCCTCAAGAGCTCACTCTCCTTTTTTGTATTCTCCTCTTTCTCTTCTTTGGCTTTCTTCAGAGCTTGGGTTCGCAGCCTTTCGTTCTCCTGGTGAGGTTTTCCCAGCACCACACACAGCCAGAGGGGAAGGAAGACAAAGGAAGGTGGAGCTGGGTCACTCAAGGGCACTGGGAGGAGACCCCAGCACTGAGACCATTCCACCTCCCTGTTCCCAGGGTCACCCCTCTTGCATTGTCCCTTTGGCCTGGGGACAGCACCTGGGGTGAACTGTGCCTTTCAGACCTCCTTTACCTGGCCCTGGAACACGGCTGGGGACAAGGCTGAGAGCCTTCCCTGGAGATCCCGGGGTAAGGACAGGGCTGAGAGCCTTCCCTGGAGATCCTAGGGCACGGATAAGCTCTCTCCTACCCAGCGTACAAATTCCTGTTCCTCACAGCTCCAGCCTCAGGGGAGGCTTGGCCAGGAGTGCTGACCCAAGGCTCCTCCCTCCTGCGGCTGAGCAGGGGCAATGTGCTAGGTGTGCCACGTGTGCCAGGAATACCAGGTGGATGAGGTATAGGAGCTGTGCCAGGTGTACCTTTACAGTTGTTCCAGATGTTACCACGTGGGCTTTCAGCTGGGCCCTCCTGGCATGCAGGTCCCTCCACTGCTCAGCAAGGGCCTCCATCCTCTCTGTGAAGGCCTGGCAGCACCAGAGACAGGGTGACATGGCTGCCAGAGCCACTCCCTGCCTGCTCCTGCCACCCTCCAAAGCCCCACCAGCCACTCAGCCATGTCCCAGCACCCTCCCAGCTTCCTCACCTCCTCTGTCTCTTCCACAACCTTCTCCATCAGTCGCACTTCTTTCATCTTCTTCAGGACGCAGATGAACGAGTTCGTGGAGTCCTCCTCTGTTGCCCGGAGCTCCCTGCCACACATTTCCTGAGGTTACACTGCCTCCGGTTTCTGGCAGGGTGCTGGACTGCTCTGGGAGCTGGACTGTGTCCCAGGTGTGGACAGGACCCCAATCCCACCTCAGAACCCCTCTGGAAGCGTGGCCTCCCCAGCCCTCCCTGCAGGGACCCTCAGCATGGCCAGGGAGCTCCAGGGGATGATGGAGCAGGGAAAGGGAGGCACAGGAGGGAACGGAGAAGGGACAGGAGCTTGCCTCGGCAGGGGAAGGAGGGGAGACACTGGAGGAGAGGATGGAGGATCCCCTCACCTGAGCAGGGGCAGGAGCCTCTCCTTGTACTGCTCCCGGTAATAGCTCACGTTCTTGTGTGCCATCGCTGCGGCCACAGCAAGTCCTGAAGCTGGCCTGCCTGGCCTCTGGCAGCCCAGGGGTTACTGCAACACCTGCACAAGCCCTGCGGCTACTCCAGCCCACCAGGACAAGCCCTGTGGCTACTTTCAATCCTAGAGAGAGGCACTGTGGCTCCTCCAACCATTTTGAGAACTCCAGTGGCTACTCCCAGCACTCTGACAGCTCCAGAGGCTCCTCCACCCATTGTGACAGCTTCTGGTCACAATGGGTTCTGTGACACATCCGGTGGCTACTCCCAGTATTGTGACAGCTCCTGTGAACCCCGTGGCATCAGGGGGACTGACCACTGTATCCAGGACCTGGAATTTTTTCATTCCCTTTTCTTTTTCATTCATCTTATCTGCTTCTTCCTCTGCCCAGATTTGGCACTTGTGTTCTGTGCCCTCTGCTGCCCTGAGGTCTGTCAGGGCTCCTGGCAGCCACGTCCTCCTGTCCAGGCACTCCCCACCAGCCATGTCCCCCTGTCCCAGCACTCCCCACCAGCCATGTCCCCCTGTCCCAGCACTCCCCACCAGCCATGTCCCCCTGTCCCAGCACTCCCAGGCTCCTTTCCCAAAGCCCAGCTGGAACCCAGAGCAGGCTGATCCTCAGGGAGGGCTGAGCCCAGGGCTCCTCCTCTGGGCAGGATGAGCTTTCCCATTTGCCAAAAATCAGTTGATTGGATTTTAGTGGGTTTAATTTCTCTCTCAAAAGAGGGCCCATGACCAAGGATGCCCCAAAAAGAAGGGATGGGGCTCATGGGCCAGCTGGGGGAACCCGGGGATGGTGGAGCCCTTGAATTGCGGCTTCCTGGGGGATTTCAGCTCTAATGCTCCCTGCCAGCCCTGGCTTCTCCATGGCTGAACCCAGAGCAGTTCTGTGAGCTCCAAGAGGGGCACAGGGCTGCAGTAGCAGCTGGAACAGAGAGTTTATGGTGCTCCAGCCCCATTGGCGACTGCAGGGAGCATTTCTTGGGTACAAAACGCACAAAAGCCACTTTTGTGATTGTCTCTGTCCTGGCTGTTCCTCCTCCCACCAGGACCAGCTCCTGGGTCCTTCACAGCACCTCCTGTGCATAGTCTCTGAAGAAGAACCACCAGAAGCCTTGAAATAGTGAAAATAGAAAAACTTCCCAAACAGCTTTTTCAATATCCCCCTTAAGAAATACTATAATATTGATATAACAAATACTAATGCTAAAATATACTATAAATGTAGATTTGTTTGAATATATAATAATATACAATAGATTATAGATTATATAGCTCTATAGACAATGCCTAAAATATATAAAATCTATAGCATAAAAATATCTAAAGAGGCAGATACGCTAGCTTTATAAAACTTTTGCTTTCTCAAAGGACTTCCACAAACAGAAGAAATGAGAGGACTTTTAGGATCTCTCAAATTCTCAATGTTTTTTAATTACATCAAGACCTAAATTTGAATGTTGCCATTGTTTTGGTGTTTTTAATGGAGTTTTCAATGCAGTTGTTCTCAGGAGATCTCTGATGCTGCCCAGTGCCCACATCTGCTGGACATGGCTCTGTGGCCCAAGGCCGGGACAGGAGGTCACTGAGCACAGGGACAGCGGGGCCAGGAGGGGTCAGGGCCCTGCTGGCACTGAAGGGTGTCCGAGCACAGCCCAGAGCTCGGGCCGGAGCTCCTGGAGGAATCCTGGGGAGCTGGGGACATCTCCTGGCCGTGGGATGGAGCAGCACTGCTGGAAAATCCCCCCCACACGAGAGTTCTGCAGCTCCTCTCCCTAGATACTGCACTCCGGTTCAACGGAACTTGTCTGAAAGAAAAATAGGGGAAAAATCCCTGTTTTTGTGACTAAACCCCACTTGTTTTAAATCACAGCATCTCTCTTAACCACCCTGAACACCAAAGCAGAGCCTGCCTGATGCTCTAGGCCACATTTTATTTCAAAAGTCTGACTTTCTTCTTCAAGCCCTCAAAATATCTGCCATAGTCAGCATTTCCAGGTGACTAATCCTTCTATCAAATACCAGTGCCTTCTTTCCACACCTCTCCTTGTTTCTATGTAAGATTCCTCGCAAATCCAGAAAGTCAACATTCCTGGTTGCTTTTCCCACCCCTGCCTTTGGAGGGGAGTGAAACCCTGGGAATCCTGCCCCACTAAAGCCCCTCTTCTAACAAGCTGCACAGATCTCTCCCAAGGAGAAAAGGGAGCAGAAGATACTGAAATTGTTATTAAAACCCAATTAAAGGAAATGGAACTGGCCCTGCTCAAGGGGAGTCACACAAACAGCACAACCTTTCCCTGGAAAATCCCAGTGGCACCTTAATTAAGGCCGGAAGGGGCAGGAATGCTGTCCCTGAGCCATGGAGCGTCCTGCCCACAGTTGTCACTTGGGATCAACCCTGAGAGCATTAAAGCACAGCCCTGCACCCCAGAAACAGCTTCAGAGCAGCTTTCAAAGGATGTAAAACTCACTGAGTGGTGACCAAACGTAAACCAGCTTAATTCCAGGGAAAACCTCCCAGCCCCAGACCCTGGGACAATAAATATGTGATCAGTGGTGCAGGAAGGTTAATGAAAGGAAGGGCTGCTGGCAAGAACAGGACCAGGGCACCGTGGGCTGTCACATCAGGGCTGGATTAGATATGGAAAAGCAGCACAAGCCAGGCAAGTGTCACTGCTCAGCTTCATCAAACTCCAGGTGCTGATTTTTCTAATGCAAGGAAAAGCTGAGTGTCAGCTCCAGGCACATTCCAGGCTGGGCTCTGCCACCTCCAGAATCCCAAAGCTGGGCCAGGACTCTGCAAGGATTTCAGAGGGACCCCGAGCTGGGAGCAGCAGCTGAGCCCTACAGACCCTGGGGGCTCGGTGCCTGACACAGCTCCTGCCAGGATCTTTCCAAACTCCTTCCAAATTCCTTCCAAACTCCTTCCAAACTCCTTCCAAACTCCTTCCAGACTCCTTCCAAACTCCTTCCAAACTCCTTCCAGACTCCTTCCTAGCTCTCTCCCAGCCCCTTCCCTACAGACCCACAAACAGCCCTAGCTCAAACAAGAGAGCAAAGCTGGATTTCCTGGCAGAAGATTCAGGCCCTGAGTTGTCTCTACCTGTACTCTGAAAACCAGACCCACAGGGACAATTGGGAAGGGGTGGGAATTCACCCTGCAGGAGGAAATGGCAGAGTCCTTTTGCTGTCCATAGCCGACTACCAGCTGAGGAACAATGTTGGGTTGTTGCTACCCCTTTCCTCCTCTCTTCTCTGGGAATTAACTCATTGGATGCTTTAAACACATGAAAGAAAAAGGAGAATTATTCCAAGACTGTGCCCAATGTGGTTTGTGCATTATGGACACAGAACCTGTGTGGCTCCCACCAATCCCAAAAATGTCCACATGGAGAACACTGCATTTAATTGACCCAGAACAGCACAAAGAGGACACAAGAATGTCACTGAACACAGTCTTCAGTGCTGACTCTCACTGCAGGGCAAGAACAAAGGATTTCACTTCCATTACAGAAAAAAGGAAACCAGTGGGAGCTTTAAGATCAGCTCAACGGAGCAAAGTTCACAGACGGTAAATGCAGGATTCTAATCTTTCCCTACAGGTTTTTTTTTTGTTCTATTTTAGATTTTATGCTCTATTTTTGGCTCAGCAACAAGCAAGAAGTTTTTCAGGCATGCTAATTGCAAAGTACTATAAAAATAAAAACCGGTTTACATTCTCCCTAAAAGGCCAGTATTTTACAAAGACATTTTCCTGCATTACATCAGGAGGCACAGGACACGCGACTGCTCAGCCGTGATTTCTCAACAGGCACTTCTGTTATGAAAACACCTCTCTCGTTGTTGGAAACTTGTTTAGAGTAGAATCAAACACTGCCAAATATTCCACTTTACCTCTTAATGGATTAAAGGAAGCTGGAAAACACAGGGCATGGGACAAATGATTTTATGGAGAAGTCAGTCACCCGTGTCATGTTTCCATAAAACACAACCTCGGAGAGTTCCAGCCCCAGAAAGGCTCCAAACAACACCAACCCCACATTTCCTTGGGGTTTGGACTCCTCAGAGGCACTGATGGCAGCTGAGAACGTTGTCCTCTATAAATACAGATTGAGCAGCAATCTTTTTATTGGTCTTCTGTTGTTGAGGTGTATCTGTACAATTCTGATACTTCACCATCCTGAAAGCAGGAATTTATTCTGCACCTTCAAACACCCCAAAGCCAGAGAAAATACTGCTCTCAAATCCCACTGATTTGGGGTTTCTGAGAACCCCCATCCAAAACCCCAGCCCCAAACCCCACTGAATCCCCTCCTGTGCCTGGGGCACAATGATAACGAGATTATAACGATATTGATAACGATAATGAGCGCATCCTTATCAGCAGGTTCCCATTCCCGGGGCTGATCCCCGGTGTGCTCCCCCATTGCTGGGGCTCTTCCCCTCTGTGCTCCCCCATTCCCGGGGTTGATCGCCGCTGTGCTCCCCCATTCCCGCGGGCTCATCCCACTGTGCTCCCCCATTCCCGGGGCTCATCCCCTCTGTGCTTTCCCGGGCTGGGCTCTGTGTCCTGGCCCGGCTCTCCGCACACCCGGAGATGCTCCCGCTGCCGTGGCCATTAAACATTCATGGCCTTCGGCTGCGCTGCTCAGCCGGAGCCCCACGGCCTCTACATATTT